ATGACCATAATAAGTGAAGTTTAAAGTCGTTTACTAGCGTTCAAGAAGATACGTATGATCAGAATTGATGTTATTTTTATGAATAGATAGTATTACGAATGTAATTTTCTTGGTTGCTTATACGAAGTTTTTATGGATTAAAATCGATAATAGAAGAAAGATAAAAATGCATTGATGATAATTATCAAGCGTAGTAGGTCATATTGTGAGACGAACATAAATGTAGAAGGTACAGTATAGAGTGTATCAGCGGTTATACTACTTTTTTCAGCAAATGTTCATTTAACCAATATCGCATACGTTTATGATTAAGTATTTCAGTAACTGCAAATATATAATTTTAATAAATTGTCATCTAGTATTATGCCGTTAATAAGCTGATAATTTCAGTAAAGCGAAGCGGATCCCTATATTAGCGATAATTATATTTAATCACCATACCAAAGAAAAGCAATATTTTGATTGACGCATGCTTTAATTTTTTGGATATTCATTTAATAAGCGAGAACAATCAAATAGACAATTAGTAATAGTAAACAAGCATAGCAATATATCTAACAGGTTATATTCCAGAATGATCAAACTTATATAAAAATACTTGAATCTGTTTAATGTAAAAATAATCGAATTAACGTTAATAAAACATCACATGATTTTTAAATTCTCACGAAATCACAAAGGTATAAGTTAATCAATTACTCAAATTATGGATTTTAGATAATATTGATTTTATATAGGAACAATAGTCCAGACCGTAAAATTGTCAAAAGATTTAGACTAACATACTTGAAACCGGGTATCAAGTAATCAGATAGATTTTTTGTCAAAACTCTGAAATTTATTAATCATGGTTTGAATTAATAGAGAAATAATTGATTTTTTTATATAAAGGTTAGATTCCATCATAGCAATTTTCTTTTTATGTATTACGTATAATCAAAATAAATTCTCAAAAGGTTTATATAAAAACAAAATGCCATCTCATATCGCCCTTCTTATCGTTATCTCTTCAGCAAAAAATAATCGATTATGCTCGTATGGTCTGGCTAAATATAAACTTTCTGATCAGACATCACGTAATATTAGATGGAAATATTTCTTTCCTTCGAACACATTGCCTCAATTATTCAATTCTGGTGATATCGTATTTATTTCTGGAAAATACGTTGTTGAACATTCTGAAGAATGTGTAACTGTCACCTACGCTAGTATTGTTGGTACTGGAAAACCTGAACGCGAATTCGACTTAACAAACGTCCCTACATGCATTCCTCATTGCATGATCTCTGTTGGTATTAATCGTATTCCAAAAACAACCGAAGAATTTATTCATTTTGGAGCGGAATGTGTAGAATATAACTCTGTTACAGGATCATTTAATATTAAAATGGAAATGATTATTCTTTAT